GGTAGGCGGTGTCGGTCCCCAGTGGGTTGGTTCGAACCCGGCGAGGCCAGATTATTGGGTATGAATTTGGTTCAAGATGCCTTGGAAAAGGTGAAGGTGATTCAGGATAGACTTCGCACAGCCCAATCCAGATAGAAGAGTTATGTGGATCGGAAGGTTTGCGATGTGGCATTCATGATTGGAGAACGAGTCTTGCTCTGGGTTTCGCCTATGAAGGGCGTTATGAGGTTTGGAAAGAAAGGCAAGTTGAGCCCAAGGTTCATTGGTCCATTTGAGGTGTTGCGTTGAGTTGGGGAGGTTGCTTATGACCTTTTCTTGCCTCCCAGTCTAGCAAGCGTTCATCCGGTATTCCATATTTCTATGCTCCGAAAGTATCACGGCGATCTGTCCCATGTGTTGGATTTTAGCTCAGTTCAATTGGACAAGGATCTATCTTATATTGAGGAGCCACTGTNCATCTAGTATTCCATGTTTCTATGCTCCGGAAGTATCACGACGATCCGGCTCACATATTGGATTTCAGCTCAATCCAGCTGGACAATGATCTATCTTACATTGAGGAGCCAGTGGCTATTTTAGACAGGCAGGTCAGAAAGCTAAGATCAAAGAACATTGCTTCCGTGAAGGTTCATTGGAGGGGACAGCCGGTCGAGGAGGCGACTTGGGAGACCGAGCAAGATATGCGCAGGCGTTATCCTCATCTTTTCACCAATTCAGGTATGTCTCTAAGCTCGTTCGAGGACGAACGATTATTTTAAGAGGGGGAGGATGTAACGACCCGGCCGGTCGTTTTGAGAGTTAGAGCCCCGAACCCCTATTAACTGCTTTCCCCATATCTATTTCTGCTATTGTGACTTGCCGGGATGATTGGTTTTGAGTTTCGGAGTGTTTTGGGACACTTAGTCCCTAAATGAGAGCTTAAGTCTTAGAATTTGGACCGTAGTCAGAACTATGTGAAGACGGTTCCGAAATAGAATTACGTTGATTCCGATAGCTCCATTGGGTGATTTTGGGCTTAGGGGCATGTCCGGAATGTGTTTTGGGGGCCCGTAGCTCATTTAGGCTTGAAATGACGAAAGTCAAAATTTTGGAGTTCTGGACCGGTAGTGGAAATTTTGATATCGGAGTCGGAATCCGATTTCGGAAGTTAGAGTAGATCCGTATTGTTGAAAATGACTTGTGTGCAAAATTTGGGGTTAATCGGACGTGGTTTGATTGGTTTCGGCATGTGTTGTCGAATTTGGAAGTTTCAAGTTCTTTAAGTTTGAATCGGAGGATGATTTGTGATTTTAGCATTATTTGATGTGATTTGTGGGTTCGACTAAGTTCGTATGGTGTTTTAGGACTTGTTGGCATGTTTGGTTGAGGTTCCGGGGGCCTCGGGTGTGTTTTGGATGCTCAACAGGTCATTTTTGGACCTAGAGAAGTAGCAGATTTTTCTGGTTTTTGTTGCAGAAGTTTGTTCTTCACGTTCGCGAAGGTGTGGACAATGGAAGCATCACGAATGCGAGGAGTAGGACGCGTTCGCGAAGAGTGTTTTCTAAGTGTGAGGTTTTGTTCTTCGCGTTCGTGAAGGGGAGGACGTGAACGCGAAGGTATGGTCTGTGTGTGCATCGCGAACGCGTGAGTGGTGTTGCGTTCGCGAAGAGGAGTGAGGCTATTGGGGATCCCAGGTCCTTGTTCTATGCGTTCGCGAGATGGTGGTCGTGTTCATGAAGGTCTGAGCTGGTAAATCTTCGCGTTCGCGAAGTCGTGATCGCGTTCGCGAAGGGTTAAATTTATGGGCAGTCGAGTTGTGCTTCGCGAACGCGAGGGACCTGTCGCGTTCGCGAAGAAGAGAGGTCTGGACAGAAAGTTTAAGTTCAGAAAATGGGACTCCATTTTTAACGATTTGGAGCTCGGATTGAGGCAATTATTGGGAGATTTTCAGAGAAAATAACGGGGTAAGTATTCTTAACTCAATATTGGTTAAATTACCCGAATCGATGGTTGTTTTTAATCATTTAATTGGTGAATTAAGTTGGAAAAGTTTGAAAACCCTCTTGAATAAATTTGAGGATTTGAGGACCGAATTGTTAGCGGAATTTAGTAATTTTGGTATGGTTAGACTCGTGGTGGAATGGGCGTTCCTATTTTGTAACTTTTATATGATTCTGAGATGTGGGCCCCACAGGCAATTTTTGAGTTAATTTCAGAATTTTTGTTAAAGTGTTGATTTCACTAATTAGATGAGTCTATTTTGGTTGTATTTATGATATGTAATTGCCTTTGGCTAGATTTGGGCCATTCAGAGCCAGATATTCGTGGGAAAGGCATTGTGACCGATTGATTGAGCTTGGTTCGAGGTAAGTGGCTTGCCTAACTTTGTGTGGAGGGAAAATTCCCTTAAGATTTGGAACTATTGTGATATGTGAATGCCGTGTACGTGAGGTGACGAGTACGTACACGGGCTAGTTATGGTAAAACCCGATTTTCTTACTAAGCAGCAACAAGTTTTTCCTGTTATTTTGAGTTATACTATTTTAATGAGTACTAATCTATTTTCATTCTTAATTGAGTTATTCCAATATGTGTAGCTATCATGTTTAGTCTAATACAACATGTCTACGTGTCTTAATTATTTATGTGAATTCTGCGCAGCATGCTTAATGAATTTCCTGCTTCTTCCCTGACTGGTACTTAGTCTAAATTGTAAGAATTTCGTGATGTAGTTGTATTTCCATCATTCGCGTTGCATATTTACTTTGGGACTACGGAACGGTATTCCGGGAGATCCACTTGTACTGAATATTTATTTTGGGACTACGGAACGGTATTTCGGGAGATCCCCCTGTACTGCATATTTACTTTGGGACTACGGAACGGTATTCCGGGAGATTCACCTGTCTTGCATATTTACTTTGGGACTATAGAACGGTATTCCGGGAGATCCACCTGTCTTGCACATTTACGTTTGGGATTACGAGACGGTATCTCGGGAGATCCCGTGTTGTGATTTCTGTGTACTGAGTTGTTACCTTCTATAATTTCATTGTTGTTAAATTTCTGCCTTTATTTTATTGCGTTATTACATTCTCTATGATTTTTGTGTACTGACCTCGTCACTACTCGACCGAGATTAGGCTTGGCACTTACTGGGTACCGATTGTGGTGTACTCATGCTACTCTCTGCACATGTTTTTCATGTGCAGATCCAGGTGTAACTTATCAGCCGCACTATCAGTGAGCCGGGACAGCTTTGGAGACTTCAAGGTATATCTTCCGCGTCCGCAGACCTTGGAGTCCCCTTCTACTCTTTCTCATGTCCATTATCTTCTATATTTTCCTTGTTAGATTCCGATGTATAGAGACACTAGATTTTTCCTTATGTAGTTTGTGATTCACGATGTTCCGAATTTTGGGATTTGTTGTGTATTTTTGAATAATTGATTAAATTTATATTTTTATTTCACTATTCCGCAAAAATATTAGGCTTACCTAGTTGTAGAGACTAGGTGCCGTCACACGGAGGAAAAATTGGATTGTGACAATTTTAAGGGCTTCTCACACTCTTTAAATGACTACTCCTTATTCTTCAAGAGGCCAAACTCTTTTATTTCTATAGTGGTAGTCTATGTGGACGATATTCTCTTAATATGCAATAATCTTGAAGAGTTGAATGAACTTAAAACATATATAAACCAGGAATTCAAGATCAAAGATTTGGGGGACTTACATTATTTTCTAGGCATGGAGGTTCTGCATGAGCCCGAAGGGCTGATTCTCACTCAAAGGAAATTCACTCTCGATTTGTTATCTGAATTTGATTGCCTCCATAAGTCTCCAGTTTCTTGCCCACTTGATTCGACTGTTCGTTTGTTGGCCAATACAGGTGCTCCTCTCCAAGATCTTACCTTGTATAGGCATTTGTTTGGCAAATTGAATTACTTGACACATACACGGTTGGATCTCGCTTTTATAGTACAACATCCGAGCCAATACATGCAAGATCCAAGATTACCTCACATGACTGCTGCTCTTCGAGTTCTTCGCTATCTCCTCAAAGACCCGGGTCTTGGTCTTTTTCTGTCTTCTTCTTCCTCGTATCAATTGCTCGCTTTTTGTGACTCTGATTGGGGTACGTGTATGGAATCACACAAATCAGTTAGTGGGTTTTATATTTCACTTGGGTCATCTCCTATTTCCTGGAAATTTAAGAAATAAACCTCAATCTCCCTTAGCTCTGCAGAAGCTGAGTATCGTTTAATGCGGCGTGTTGTCGCCGAGCTCACTTGGCTTGTATGCCTCTTTGAAGATCTCTCAGTTCCCATTTCTCTTCCGGTTCCCCTTCACTCAGACAGTTAGGTTGCAATACACATTGTCAAAAATCCCGCGTTTCATAAAAGAACGAAACACGTGAAAATTGACTGTCATTTCGTCCGTCAACAATTTTTGGCAGGCCTATTCTCCTTTTCTTTTGTTCCATCATCTTCTCAACTCGCTGATTTATTCACTAAATTGCTCACCTATCTTCTTCATCATCGATTTTTGGGCAAGTTGAGTGTACTTTCACCCCCTCCAACTTGAGGAGGGGTGTTGGATTTGGGTTTTCTTCTCCAATGAACAAGAAAGGGTTGGTAGAAGATAAAGCAATCTGCTTGGGTGTTCGATACGATTGATGTCTAAATATATTTGTAATATTTTGGTTAGATGAGATACAACCATATGGAAATGATCAACGGACACAAACAAACAAATGTTTGACCAGACCTTATAAAGATATTGGGCTCTGCATAAATATTGGGCTCAAGCTAATTTACATTTATTGGGCTTGTCGGAATATTTGCTTCTAGGGCCTACTGGAAGAAGCAGGAGAAAAGATATTTAGGTTTCTATTTTACACATATTATTTATTCTTGTAATTAGCATATGAGTTAGTTATAGAGTAGCTAATATAATAGAGACAAGTGTATATGCAGTTATATTTTAGATTCCATTTTGCTTTATATAAGGAATAGCTTCTACAGTTCGTCATTCATTCAATCATACACAAAAAATTCTATTAATCCTTTTTCTTTCAATTCTGTCAACTGCTCGTATCTTCCAGCAATTAATTCAATGTATGATACTTATTTCTGAGATAATATGCATTCACAATATTCATTTAACTTTTGTAAATTTAACTCAAGTTATACACACTTGACAAGAGAAGTGGAAGGGTTACTTAGCTCCCATTTAGTCATATATTTTGGCTATTTTTTTCTTTTTTTTTTGAAAATGCTGTTTGTTGATGTAATATGATTGATTTTTGAAAAAGAAAAGTTCAAGTTCCCAAAAACTGGTTTAGAGCAGTTTTTGGGTAAAAAATTTTCATCCACTCATAAAATTTCTAACTTTTTTCTCAAATAAAATGCATGCCCAAATACAACTTCAACTTTTAAAAATTATTTTTCAACACAACTTCAAAAACTCTTTTTTTTCAAGTTTCAACCAAATTTATGTCCAAACACTAGTTTATATTCGGATTTATACCAATATTTATAATTTGGGGATAAAAGCATCTTTTACACAATAGAGGCAGATTTATAGCCTATTTGGCCAAGCTTCTCAAGAGGTCAAAAGTATTTTTTTCTCAAAAATACTTTTTTCCCCTAACTTGAGGTTTTGGCCAAGCTTTTTTGGGGGAAAAATATTTTTGGGAAGAAGCAGAAACAGTTTCTGAGAAGCAGAAAAAAGTAGCTTCTTCCCAAAAGTAGAAGTACAAGCAGTTTTGACTTTTCTTCTTACCAAAAATACCCTTAACAAAATATAGTATCTACCAAAATAACCGTTAAACCTAATACTTAGGATATTAATATATAAATATTTCTTATTATTTTTTGGATAGCTTTCTAATATATAGTGACTTTAGGGGTGAATACTTTTATATTTGTTGAATGATTTTTAATATATTTAACTTATATTAAAAGAACTAAGTACTTTTAAATTTTATTTTCATATTTTACTTAAATAAAATAAAAAGATTTAATTATTGCTTGTAATAACAAATCTTTAAGATTATTTATTTACTTATAATATTAACTATTAAGTAAATCTATTCATGTCTTTATTCGTAATTTGATACTTAAAAGCACTTTCTAAAAAGCTTGGCCAAACACAAATTATTGCTCAAAAGTGCTTTTCAGAGTGATTAGCCAAACACAAACTGTTTCTCTCAAAAAGTACTTTTTTCAAAAGCACTTTTGAAAAAAATACTTCTCAAATAAGCTGATTTCTCCAACTTGGTCAAACATGCTATTACCCTTTGAGTAAGGGGCTCACTGGCCCGCGATAATTCTGATATATATATATATATATATTGACACCCTAAGATACAAATCTTAGGCACTTGCATTGATCGATTTAGGGGCACAACTTGACGTTTTATTGCATTGCTTGAATTCGATTACGACTCAGTATTTGCTCAAATTTTTATTCGACAATAGTAATACATGCCACTTTCAAATCTCGGATCCACCGTGTTTACACGTAATTTAAATGCATTATGAAATGACGAAAAAATAGATAAGTTCTATTTCTCGAAAAAGGATTTTGCAATATTATCATAATCCATCTAACCCTACACCCCAACTCGACCCCCTACCCAAACCCCGGCCCCTCCTCACATGAAATTCTTGTTGCCCAAGCAAATGTATTATTCTATTCCTTCTGTTTTAATTTATTTGAACCTATTTGATTGGACAGAGAGTTTAAGAAAAGAAAGAAGACTTTTGAATTTGTGGTGTAAAATAAGACACATATATTTTGTGTGGTTATAAATTATTGGATAAAGAGAAATTATTTTCAAATTAAAAAAAAAGATTATTTTTTTTAGAACGGATTAAAGGAAATAGGTAAATTGAAACAGAGTGAGTTCGCAGTTCACATGAACGTGTCAAAAACGTGTTTAAATATAAAAACGTGTTAACTTCTCTGTGGAGAAATTCTCCTTACCTTTGCCAAATTCAGTCACTCCAAAACACCAATCACTCCGTTTATCCACCATTTGACACGTTCATTTCTCAAAAATGTCATCAACCTCTTTGCTAGTTGGTCCACCAGCCCTCCGCTTTGAGCCACCGTTATCCGCCGTTGAAATTCCCGTCTCCGGTGACAATCCCATAACCAATTTAACTGATAAAACCTCAAATCTCAATCTCTCGAAGCTTCCTCTGAGGGGTTTGACGGAAAACAACTCAGCCACTTTCATATCATCCGGCAACCCATGTTTGGATTTCTTCTTCCACGTGGTGCCTGACACGTCACCCGATGATCTGATCGGACGGCTGGAATTAGCTTGGGCTCACAACCCTTTAATGGCTCTGAAGTTGATTTGCAATCTCAGGGGCGTTAGAGGCACCGGTAAGTCTGATAAAGAAGGGTTTTATACGGCAGCGTTTTGGTTACACTATACTCACCCTAAAACCCTTGCTTGTAATGTTCATGCTTTTGCTGATTTTGGGTACTTTAAGGATTTTCTAGAAATTCTATTCAGAATTTTAGAAGGACCGTTTGTGAGGCAAAAAGAGAAAGAGGAGAGAGAACAATGGCGAGGTCGCGGTCGTGGTCGCGGTAGATTTAAGAGGGTTAATAGGCCTAGAGAAGGAAATGAGGAGAAGAAGGAGAAAATTAAGAAAAATTTGGAGGAAATAAAGGAAGAAATGAAGGCAGAACAAGAGAAAGCAAGATGTTTGAGGAAGGAAAAAGAGAGAGCTAAGGCGAAAGAGGCGTTAGAAAAATACTATTCCGATGGGAATTATAGGCTTTTACATGATAAGATATCGGATTTTTTTGCTGAGCTTTTGAGGGCTGATATTGAGAAATTGAATTCTGGAAAAGTTAATGAGATTAGTTTGGCTGCGAAATGGTGTCCGACTGTTGATTCGTCGTATGATAAGGCGACTCTGATGTGTGAGAGCATTGCGAAAAAGATGTTTCCTAGGGAGAATTATAGTGAGTACAATGGGGTTGAGGAGGGTCATTATGCTTATAGGGTGAGAGATAGATTGAGAAAAGATGTGCTTGTGCCTTTACACAAGGCGTTAGAGTTGCCGGAGGTGTACATGAGTGCTAAGAAGTGGAATTCGTTGCCATACAATAGGGTGGCGTCTGTGGCGATGAAGAATTACAAAGAACTCTTTTTGAAGCATGATGAGGAGAGGTTTAATAAATATCTTGAGGATGTGAAGTCAGGGAAGGCGAAAATTGCAGCCGGAGCGTTGCTTCCTCATGAGATTATTGGGGCATTGAGCGACGGAGATGGTGGGGAAGTAGCAGAACTTCAGTGGAAAAGAATGGTTGATGATCTTTGTAAGAAAGGAAAATTAAGTAATTGTATCGCGGTATGTGATGTTTCTGGGAGTATGAATGGGATACCCATGGAGGTTTCTGTGGCACTTGGTGTGTTGGTTTCAGAATTGAGTGAGGAACCGTGGAGGGGAAAATTGATCACGTTTAGCGCTGATCCTGAAATGCAGAAAGTTGAAGGTGATACTTTAAAAGAGAAGACTGAATTTGTCAGGTGTATGGATTGGGGTATGAACACAGACTTCCAGAAAGTGTTTGATAGAATTTTGGAAGTGGCAGTACAAGGAAAACTAAGTGAAGATCAAATGATAAAGAGGGTGTTTGTGTTCAGTGATATGGAGTTTGATCAGGCATCTGAAAATGCATGGGAGACAGATTATCAAGCAACACAACGGAAATTTGTAGAGAAGGGATACAAAAATGTGCCGGAGATTGTGTTCTGGAACCTTCGAGATTCAAGGTCGACTCCTGTTTTGGAAAAGCAAAGTGGTGTAGCACTTGTGAGTGGGTTTTCTAAGAATCTGTTGACCATGTTCTTGGAGGGTGGTGGAATCGTTAATCCAGTGGAAGTTATGGAGCTTGCTATTTCTGGTGATGAGTACAAGAAGCTTGTAGTTTATGACTAATTAATGTGTGGTTGCTCTTTTTGGTTTTAGTTTTCAAACTATATTTTCCAACTTTATTACACCGTCTCTCTTAGATGAAAGAAGTATGTGTTACTTACAATCAACTGGTGACATTAAGCTTTGCTTTTATGGATATGGAGAACACTTGGATAATCTTGTGTTTTGTGCTTCTTCTATTCTGTTTTCTTTTCAATATGGTGGGCTGAATCCCTATAGCTTGCTTACATTCTTTATTAGATGTATGTTCTGCTATTTGAGCTATGTATGTTCTGCACTTTGAGCTCAATTAAACAAATCCATTCTAGTGGTGAGCCGAGCGTCTACCAAAAACAGGTCCTCTACCTTCTTAAAGGCAGGGGTAAGGTCTACGTACACACTACCCTCCCCAGACCC